TTGCTTGAACATGGCTGGATGCACGTCGAGACCAAGGTGTCGATTGGGCACGGCGTTGTATTCTGGTGCTGGGACGGGTGGCTGGCATAGTCTAAAGAGAAACTAGAACAAGCATCTGCAAACATCATATATATTCAAATCCTCACATCTAGGAGTAAGTAGTCCTGTATCGGACAAGGACATGTAAACACAAGTGACAATAACACATAATCCAATCGTTAATGGACAACACAAGTTTTATTGAGCATGGCATACCACAAAGGTAGCCGAACACACAACTGGGCAAAAGCACTTAACAACATGATGGCAACCCACTGCATATTGAATCCAGCTATGGGCACCTGGAATAACAATCCTGTTCCATGTAGGCATACATTCAGCAGAAAAGCAACAGTGGCCTAAATTTATGCTAACAAGCACGTAAATTCAATAACAGAACATGACTGTAAAACCAATACAGAAATAACACAACATATAAATACCATTAAACAAACAACATCAACAGACAACAAACTGGACAGATTTACCATCTATGCCAAGCCACTTGTTTCATGAATGGCTACCTCCCAGCTGAATATAATTGCTGAATGCTCAACAGGGGTCACAACAGCCATGTGTGCAAACCCAAATATTCATAGATCCCTTGGGCCCAGGGTGATAAACCTGTCATCAAGGAAGGCTATCCAAAGATGGCAACAAACTTTATTGAACAAATCAGCATACAACAATCAATATGTATAGTATAACAAATACATAATATGGCCATAAAGTCATCAAACTTAATATTTACAAGTATTGGCCAAAATTTAATACCAAAATTAGGAAAACAATGCAAAAACTTGTAGTTGGGAAAAGCTGGTAAATTCCCGTGCATGACACATTAACGTAAAAGCGAGAGAGCCTTCAAGATCGCTCCTCGATAGCTTTTATATAAGCTAAACTGTCCGTGGGGGTTAGCGTGCACCCCATCTAAGGACAGCAAATTTTTGCCAGCTTTACAAAATGCGCGATGTTCCCACAAGAAAACACCAGGCATATTGTCCAGTTCCACAGATAAATACTGTCTCAAAAGTGCCGCCTTAAATACCGTGCCAGGCGCTTGTGAATGCGGTAAACAACGGTCAATCACCATACAAATTATCCCGTAACAGTGAAACTAAATCCTCCAAACGTGAGCCCACCGCCTCCGGAGACAAAAAGGAGAAGTCATTAGTGCCCAATTCCAAAATAATTGATGTCCGAATGTTGACTCTTAAGGGACGGACCATTTGAAAAGTGATGGGGGGGGAGGTAAATTTTTTATGTTTGCATTGTTTTTCCAGGTTGTCAGCTGTGTATGCATGTTTTTTTTAAGTATGTCTTCTCGCATGCAATTCGTTTTCCCAATACAACTATATCTTTATCCCAATACATCTATATCTTTAAAAACACTGCAAATAATGTCTTTAAGGATATTTTAGGCTAAACCAGATATCATTTATACTTATAAATAGCATTTTAATGTAAGAGATCGTTATTGACATAGACACAATGCGATAGCAGATAGCCAACAGGAGTTGAAGGATATGGGGAACATTTTTGGAGGCCTTGGCCTTTGCAGTGCCTCTCCCACAGTCCATCATAGTACCACCAGCTTTCATTTATTAACATATCTCCTCTGAAATGGCTGGCCGATTCGCTCCAGAACGTAAGTCCAAACAACTGGTAACTGAAATACAGTACAGTAGATAAATTAATATCTGTTTCACTTCAGATATGAAATATTAAATATAAAGGCAAAACTAGTCGGCTTGTTTCACCGAAAGGAGAACTATGAAAAAACTCACTCACCTAACATTTGCCAAATTCACTTTTTGACAAAGCTGAGAGACATCTACTAAAATCCCCTGGCGTGCAAAGAGGTCCAACGAGATGAGAAGGAATGGAGGAGAACCTCTCACAAATCTCCTTTTATCGTTTGCGCGCGTTCCTCCACAATAAGCTTGAGCAATTTGCCTTTTTAAAAAGAAAGTATAGTATTTTTTCAGAGCAAAAGTTGGGTATAGATACTGTGTAAACCTGTCGCGTTCCTCGCTCAAAAGATCATCATTCGAAAAAATGCAAATTCCGTTGGGCGGTGCTGTACGAGAAAATTATAAAGTAACTATATTTTTATACTTGCACAAGCTGGCCTGTAACAGGATCTTCACAAACATGAGCCCCAATGAAATGGTCAGCATCATAAGGTACTACCTGCATTCGTTGGCCACATCGAGATGCCTGGAGATCTGTGCTGATCCAGTTTGATAAGGATGCTTGAAGGAAGCTTGGAGGTGGTATTCCAGGATTACTATAGTGGGAAAAGAAAATTATGGTTGAATATTTATTTCATCTTCAAAGGAAACTATACCAATTTGACCGAATTTCAATGGTTATACTACATATTCTATTAAATTGAAGCATGCAAATATACCATACCACTCTACCTAAGTCTTATGGCCTGCGAACAAACATGCTTCACTTTTGACGGGCAGTGTTTGGATGGACATGTGCTCGTGAACGTACTTTCAAGGGTCGAAATCATTCTTGACGCAAACAGTTCATCTTCGTTACCCCAGAGATTTAACTGGCCAGGCTGTTCCAAGTTAAATCGTCCAGGAAACAATTTTAACCACTCACATTTCCCTTCTGCAAAGCAGTCATTGTCAAACATTTCAACTATCCTGTAGAGAACACTTGCATATGACTCGATTGATGTTGAAAGATGCTGAGCAAATCGTTGGTGTTGTTTTATTAAGACATAAAAAATAGTGAGAAAATTGTCAATAGGACATGTATTCACGAGCGAAATTTGTCCACCGAGTGGAATAACAAAAACACCTCCCCAAGGTGGAACTTTGACACTTCGGTCGATGACATTACTGAGCAGTTTGGTTGATGAACCATTCGGCAGGGCAACATGAATTTTATTTCTTTGTGCCTGATATGTAGTATCAGTTGATGCCTCGTTTCTGATATTTGAGTAAAAATGCTGCTTAATCGCTTCAATTTTCTTTGCTTTTGTGAAACCTTTCTTTTCACATTCTTTCTTTGAAAAGTTCAAGTTCTTTTTAAGATACAAATCAAGCTGGGATAAGTAGAGGTTACTCAATTCGTTTGACTGCACAAGTCTCTCCCAGTCAAAGTCACTGTACGTCTTTGCCTTCTCTGCTACCTTTGCACTGGCATTTGTTTTCTTAGTTACAAAGGCCTTAACCTTTGCATTATAGCGGCGGCGTATTTCCCTAGTTACAGAGTTTCTTAAATCTTCCCCGGTGTACTTAGCGACAAAGTCATCCACCTTTGACATAATCTTCTGCAAGGTTTCATTTTTATCAACGACTGAATGCACTATAAAATCGTCATCTCCATCATTATCATCATCATCTGCAGCCAAGACTAGTTCTGGCTGTCCACAAGACAGAATCAGTTCTTCCAACTTCTTTCTTGGGCAAAAGTCATCTTTTTCCCCTGATGAGGTGTTGAACACAGGTTTGACATAGTGGAATTCGTCTTCAGAGTAATCTGGTACTGGGGGCGGAACACGATTTAGAGGTACGCCACTTCAGCCATTTGATAATTGGTCTGCATTCTCAAGTGATGAATGGTAGGTGCAAGCTTTGCCATTCTTTGCTATGCAACCATTTCGTATCCCTTCAAATCCGTTATCATAAAGCAGATAATGAACATCGAAAAACTCCTTCACAAACTTGAAGTAGGCCTGTCCGGCACAATTATTAAGAACAGACACAGAGTTGGCACTTGCACACTTTGCCATATACATTTCGTCAAAGAAGAAATTATGGTATTGCTCGTAGATTGGATTGAATGCGTGGATGGACGTTCCCATGCATTTTCTACCCTGGAACCTTTTCTTGATTTGTTCCGCGCATCTCTTCGCAATTTTTGCCTCCTCTTCATTCTGCACTCGTTGTAATTCATCATTACTCAGCTCCGTCATTTTAAACTGTCCCTTATCATCAATGAATGTGGCAGATGAAACAGCAATAGTCCTACCATCCCCTAAACATTCATTTAGTGACCTCATAACTTGTTCAACAATGTGGGATTTTGAGTCACCAGGGCCATAATGAAACCTGCTCTGGAGATCTAAATAGTTAATCATAAAGTACTCAGCCACTCTTATTTGGGTCATCTGCTCGTGGCTTGATACTTCTGGCCCAGCATCGGAAGTCTGTATGTCAACTGGCCTAAAAAACAAGAAAAAGGCAAAATTAATACAAAAATAATGTAACCTAATACATGTGAAACCTTTTTGTGTGTATACAAGATCTAAAATCTGAAGAAATGCCATAAAAGCATAGGTTATAATGCGTTATATTTAGTATTATAAATATACTCTAAAATATTTTACCTGTGTCGAGGAAGACCCATGCTTTCCATGGCTTTACGAATGTCTTGGCAGAAAACTGCAATATCTTGGTACTTAGTATTCAACTTATCCCACAATTGGCAGAGGAGATAAGAATCTAGAGGAGCATATTAAGAAATTAATCCTTAAAAACTGAATGGAAAAGTTCTGTTAATACCTCTTGCTAACTATTAAAAATACTCACCTATGCATTTTAAATGCTCCACCAGGAGAGAAAGATCTTTTGTTAATTTCTCCACTGATGGTAGTTGTCTGAATTCCTCGAGCATTGACAGAGTTACTTCCAGCCTTTTTAAAAGTATACTGACTCTTAGTAGCTCCCGAGAAAGGTGATCTCCTCCCTGTGCTACCTTCTCATAGTCTTCCTTTATTGTCATCAGCTCAAATTGAAAGATTGAGTATCTAACTGCTACTAAATAAGGTAAAACTTTCTTGAGGCAATCCGTATTCAAAGTGCTTGAATCTTCAATGGCAGACATTTCGTGTTCATACTGAAAGCGGTACCTTACTAAAAACAAGTCATTGGCCCAGTTAGTGGCCGTGCTGGGGTAGATGTGTTTTGGTTTGCAATTCACATAAACTGAGACATCATCTGATACAAATTTGTCTCGCCCCTTGTGTTCAGTTTCCTTCATGTTATTGACCAGTAGAACTACACCAGGGGAGACATAGCCTACTGGATCTGGGTAATCAGCTGTTGGTAGTTGAAAATGGCTGTCAGGACCAGTATTCAGGGGTGTGAAGTGGTCTACAGAAGCCTTCTGAGGTTCCACATCGAATGTAAGCCTTGTCATCAATAGCTCGCCTTACAACTAAATTTTTCCCATGAACAACACTTGAGCGCGAAAAGGAAAACCGTGTGTAGTTTTTTACATGCGCACGGTTATAGTGAATATTGATATGCTTGTCTTGCTGTTTCTTTTCAGCCCGAAGGTGTGCCCATAGATTCAAACCGCGATGTTGTTTTGATTGACGAGATCGTTTGTTCCTGCACTTGCCCCAAGAACGTACTGTTTCTTTTGAAAGGACTGGCTTTTTACCTGCTTTCTTAAGATATTTATTTGCAATTTTTTTCATCTCTTTGGAGTGAATTCTCCTCTCATGTTCAAGGTAGCCTGTCCCCTCCTCTCCCCATCTTCTTCGGTGGGATTGTAACTGCTCTTGCAGTACTTCATAAATGGCTTTTTCAGCTCCTCGATCAATGCTGAATCGGCCTTTTCCTTTTCCCTGCTGTGACATAAGCTGCGATTTCCATTTTTTAAACAACCTCTTTGCTACCCTTTTCTTTGCTTTCTGTTTTGAATCCTTCTGAAGTTTCTCCTTCCGTTGTTTTTTCATCTCTGCGTCGGTATTCCGGCTCTCAATTTCTTCTTCATCAAGCCTCATTCTTTTTGAACTGAGATCTTTTGCATCTTGCTCTATCTCTGTCTGCAATCTTGATATAATATCTTCTATGTGTTTTTCACTTTCTTTTTCTGCTTCTTCTTGTTTTCGTTCCACTTCATTAAGAAATTCTTCAACCTTTTTCTTGACCTTCTGAGTGTGCTGGTGTTGCATGCCAAGTAGCAGGGCCAATCTAATGGGTGAAACAATACTAGAAAGGATAAACACTAAAATGGCCCTGTCCTTTGAGGTTGACAATAATTTCAATAAAGTTGGAATATGACAACCAACTAAACTCCAGTCGAATTGTTCATGTTCTCCCATACTTCCACAATCTAGTACGAAGTCAATGCTACGACACAATGAAATGTTATTCAACGGAAGATCTAATAGCATTACATAAGTATTGCCATCATCGTTTAAGAACAGAATGGGCAAACCATTTTTCGACAAAATCCTGTCTTTAAATTGCCGTCGAGCTTCCTTCTTATTAGGCATGCACGCGATGTTGGGCAATTTTCCGGCATATTCGTAAAACGCCTCATTAAAGGGCATACACTTATTCGGATTTGCGATCAATTCGTCGAGGACACTTGACAATGCAACCATAGAATCTTGAACTGATCCAGAACGTTCATCTATTGAGACTTTCAGCTCATTTTGTCGAACTTCTGCTGTTTTATTGCACAACGAAACAACGACATGTCTGAAAGCAAAACTCGCATTTGTATCTTTGTATGGCCTCTTTTTCCCTCGTTGATGTGCATTGTCTGCCATATTTTGCATGAATGAATATCTCCCCCCCCCCGCCGATTTGAACTTGTACCCAGTCTACGACTGCCGTGTATGCCAAGATGGCGGAATTTGAAAAACAATGAGAAAAACACAAATATGAATCCAGTGAATGAACCTGAAGAAAACACGTTTTTGTCGTGGCTCAAAAAAGCATCGCTGGAGAAATTCCATCAAACATTAGTTAATAATGGAGTAACTGAAGTTTCGCATATTCAGGATGTTCAGGAAGACGACGCTTTATCGTTTGGATTTTCGAAGTTTGAGGCTAGGAGACTGCAACGTTGTTTTGCCGAGTATAAAACACAGCAAAAGGACACACGAGAGATCCCCAAAACAGCTTTCAAGACTTCATCATCATCTATGGTTGTAGCACTACCAAGGGCCATGCGAAATTTTGTGGAAACTAGAGATGGTACTGGCCATATCGTTGTGAACACTGAATCGCTGAAACGAAAATTCAGGAATCTGTACTACCAATCTCCAGTTACCCCGAATCAAATCTTTTCAAATTCTTTCATTTTAAAAATGGCCGCAGAACGTCTTCAGTTCTCGAAAAGCTTTCGTGAGTGTGAGAACTGGTGCAGAAAAGAGCGTTGGATACGAATTAAGTTGATGATTGGAGTGACAAAGCCACCAACTCTGGACAACGGGTCACCGCATCACAAGAAACAAAGTGTGTATGGTTGTGTAGAGATTGCGAAGAATCGTTATTTGGAAATCGTAGCTTTAACAGAAAATGACAATGCTTTGAGGAAAACACACTATGAACATCTATGTAGATTGTTGGAAATGTATCATGATGCACTTTTTTTGGCTAATGAAAACTTGAACATTCTGCACCAATGAGATTGAGAGAACAATGAAGGAAAGCTCAAATGGAAAAATACTGGCAAAAGGTGAGTTTCTTTAAGAAAATATACATTTGTTTGTAACACCTTGATCTTAAAAATATGTATGAATTTATTTATGTATTTCTGGGAAAGTCGTGTATATAGGTTCTTGGCTATATAGTTTTAATTGTGTTTTGTAGTTTTGACTCCTGATGACTAAACTATAGTTCATATTCAAAATGTTCATATTCAGAATTACACTTGATATTTTATAAAAATAAGTGCTCAGTGGTTTCTGTAAAATTTGCACTACATATTAAAAGGAAATTGCCCCATCCTTGGTCAAGACTAGTGGCAATTGAACACCCCCACTAGCCCCCTCATGAGGAGGTGATCACCACCCAGTGCATGCAATTATGCTGAGAATATCTAATTGCCTTAATATATGTTCATGTTTTAATAATTGTAGGTTTTGAAGACCAGAATGAATTCTTCAATGAATTACTTCCAAGAGTGAAGGAAGCAGTAACATACATCACAGAAATTGCCTGCAATTATGAGGATTTAGTGAAAAAATCTAAAGAGAAGTATGGAAGCAGTATGGCAGAACAAATGAGCAAAAGGAAGAAGAAACAAAACATGAGAAAAGAAAAGAGCAAGATTAAGTAGAGGAAAAGAAAATGTAGAAGAAGATATTGCCATTGAGATTATAGATCAAGAAGATAGTGTCAGTTTGATAGATGAAGGAGAAAGTGGTAGTTTGGTTGTAGATCAAGATAATAGTGTCCGTTTGATTGTAGATGAAGGGAAAAGTGGTAGTTTGGTTGTTGATCAAGAAGATAGTGTCCGTTTGATTGTAGATGAAGGGAAAACTGGTAGTTTGGTTGTAGATCAAGAAGATAGTGTCCATTCGATTGTAGATGAAGGGAAAAGTGGTAGTTTGGTTGTAGATCAAGAAGATAGTGGCACTGCGATTATAAATCCAGGGGAAAGTGGTAGTTTTGTGGTTGTAGATCAAGAGCAGAGTGGCAGTGTGAATGAGGATTATTAAAGACAAAATATTTTGATAGTATATAATAAACCTATATATAATAAATATTGAAAGAGATTGCATATTAATATATTATATATTTATATATTCATATTCCATAATATTCCAAAGATATAGTTCAAGTTTGTCTGATGTACATTTAAAATTAAAGTTCTATATAATTGTTGTTCTGTTTGTAATTTTTTTTTAAACAAGTCTGTTTGCATGTAATTTTTTTCAAACCTTTTTTGTTTGCATGGATTTTTTTTCTGTTTTTTTCCCCCCCCCCCCTATCACTTTTCTAATGGTCCGTCCCTAAGAAAAGGCAAGTCGTATTGAAAGACCTTGTCAATCGTACGACCGCCTATGCCGTGCAAATACACGCCTGCTGACGAAGCCAAGTTGAAATTTTGTTTCGCACGGGAATCAAAATGACTAACCAAGTCATCCCGCAAGAGTTCAAACGAATGGCTAAAAACTAAAATCTGTGGTACTGAACCGTTCATATTAAAATATACAATAAACAAGCGATACGATACCTTTATACAGAAAGGAAAACTTGTGAGGACTTGAAAACTTGCCTTGCGAAGCCAAATGTGAATGATCTTGAGCTGTTAACGCTCAACGTTTTTATATAGTAGGCCCAAGATGCACGTGAAGCGTGACACAGAAATTCACTGATGCGTTGCAAAATTCCACGGGAAATAAAACTGGTTGAACGAGTTTCCCTGAGAGGTTCCCTCCATAACCCCCATTTTGCGTGCTACCCCGAATCCCTAAATATCCCTACAAAATTCCCACGGAAGCAATAAATTGATTATTCGCTGAAGCAAATAACTCCTTTTGTTGAAAACGCCCCGAGAGCTATAACTATATGTTACGACTGTTATTGTTGTCATTCGCATTTTTCTGTCGCGTGAAAATCCCACGAATATCCCACGCATTCCAAAGAGAATCCCACGAATTAGTTCACGGTTTTTAGGAGCTACATTCTGATTGGTAGAAATCGAATTCCCGCTCGTTTCCGCAGACGTTATTTCCAAGCGAAGAATGAGCGTCGGAAATGACGTCTGGGTTCGCAGACTAGTCCACCGTGGGTTCCTTGGTATCTTTACAGTCTATCAATCTCAGTCTTCCATCTTCAGTTTTACATCCTTTGTCTCCTTTATCTCCAGCAGTCCACAGTCCATCCTGCTTTCTTGGTATCTTCTTGTCACAAACGATTCCTGACATTTTGTCTATTTCATCTACGTTGTCTTCAACACGTCAGTTTAAGGGGCGGACCACTTGACTTTTGAGGGGGGGGGG